CATGCACCCTGCTCCTCTCCACACACAGAAGCAGACACACTGCTGGACTCTCCCTCCCTGCACACAAACACACATACACTGCTGATCTTCCCCCCCCCCCACACACACACACACACACACACACTGCTGGTTCTTGACCTCCCACCCGCCCAGCACGGAGGCAACACCCTGACCCTGGAGGCTGCTCGTTTAAAAAAAGCAGAGGGCAGGAGAGCTTTGCATTTTACAGACTAAGCCAAGTAGGTATGTATATCTGCCTGCCTCTCATACATACACACATACACATGTGTGTGTGCACACCCACGTGTCTATAGCCACACAAACTAACAGGGGGAGGCAGTACTTTTGTGGCTCCAGCTAAAACGTCACAAAACCTCTGCCCTTCAGTCAATCCCATACCACATGCCCGTGCCCCTGTGTGATGGGCACCAGGCAGCCTGTGGGGCAGGGCAGGGCTAGGAGTCTTTGTTTCCCATCTGTCATTCAGTGGCAAATTTAGCTGTTTCTTGGCTGTTGAAGGGGAGCTGGGGGTGGGGCAGGGCTGGCCTCTCTCCAGCGCAAGCCCCCTGGATGTTATTGATCTGATCATGCTTCCAGGGGTTTGGTTTGGTTTTTTGAAAAGTCGACAGGTATAAAGCCGCATCAGGAAGTTGGAGGGCCTGCCTGCCTCACAGAAGGCTCTGTGGGGCAGTACGAGCTTCCCTAGTGATGAAAGGGCTCCTGGGAACCTGCTGGCCTGAAAGAAAAAGAAAGAGAAAAGCTAGTTTCTTTATGTCTTGTTCCCCTACCCCCACCTTTTTTTTTTCTTCCACTAAACCATACTGATAGGAATAAACTATAGGACAGCCTTAAAGACAGCTCGCTCTGGTCCATTCAAGCCACTCCAAAGTGTCATGGCCACTTCACATTGTATTCATGTTAATAATACAGCTGGCAAACTTTCTGGGGCAAGAACTAGGTCTTCATGTCTTTCATGAAGCACACCCAGGACATACTATCAAATAAGACCTTGTGTGGCTGCAGTCCTATCACTAATGCCCAGATATGGCAGCAGCAATTTTTCTGTGTTCTGGTTTTGGTTACATCCAAACAGGTCCATCCCGTTTGCTTCCCTGTAAGCATCACTGCACCATAACATGATATTGTAGGCATACCTGGATCCTCCTCTTCTTGAAAGTCAATGCAAGGTCTTGCGATCAGCTTCTACAGAGGTAGGATTAAGCCCCAGATGCTGTTTTCTGAAATCACATTTTTATTGGGATCCTGACTCAGATTTTTGTCTGAAAATCCACTATATTTTTAATAAGTAAAATTATCGTCACTGTCTCACAGTACAAGGATCTAACATCAGATGAACTTCTAAGTGAGGAGTTATGCATCTGAATATAATTTCGAGTAGGTCATTGGTGCTTAGCCTATCTAGCAGTCAGCCTGATGTGTGGCAGGGGGCTGGTCCACAGACTAGATCCCAAAGGTCTGTAGGTATGATCAGAGATGGCAGCATAGCCCTGCATGCTGGATCCAGCTGCAGAGCAACCCTGTGAGCTGGCATATGAAGTTATAATATCCAGTCTGTTGGGCTCCCCCTGCATCTGGAAATTTGGGCTCTGCCATGGTATTTAATGCTGCCACCTCTCCCCTGCAGCCAAATTTCCAGACCCAAGGAGATCCAAGCAGACCAGATGACACAGCTCTGCGGGTCAAATCTGGCCCCCAGGCCACAGGTTGAGCACTACTGGCTTAGATGAACAAATTTTGCCTCTTGACAAATGTATGGTGGTAGTAGAGGAAAATATGTCTATTTTACCAAGCTTTCTTCAATGTTTATATACTAGAGAAATTACTTTGGGGCACTGCAAATACTGATTCTGCTAGCTTGCTCTCTCTCTCATTTCATTGAGTGAGAAGTTTTTAAGTCTCATTGAGATATATTAATCAGTTTTTCAGTGCAGTACGAGGACAGTACCTCCTGGCATACTAGTATTTCTATATCTGCATACAGATTACTACTACTACTACTGTTTAACAGGACTCCACCAGCAGAAGGCATTACGCTTTGCCTTGCGGTTGCTTAACTAGCTCTAGGTTGTTTGCCAGATAACCTGCTGGGCATGTTAAATGTATAAATAACACACAGAAATAATGTATGTTATTTTCATTATTATTTAGAAGTTGGGAAGGGAATGAATGGCTTTAACAAATTGGAACCTTAACAATTGGCACCTACTTTCATCAGTTTTTTAATATAATACAAATCATATATAACTTTCTAGGTCTATCATTTCAAAAGGGATATATTATGTCAGCATTTTTAAAAGATTTTGCTGAGATTTCTTCTACATGAAATGCATTTACAGCCAAAATGACTCACATCGGTGTGAGATATTTTCTTCTTTGTCAAAATGCCTTGCTAATATGTATTTTGTTAGCTGGTGTGAATGGCATGCAGACTCGTAAACATTTTTCCTTCGACTAACAAAAGCACAAAACGTCAGACCGGTGCAGGTTTATTAAGGTGTCCTTCAGTTAAAGAAAACCGAAGCAACCAAAAACATCTGCAGCGATTTATGGGCAAGTTTGAAAATTCACTGACAGTAACCCATCTCTGATGGAGCAAACTATAATATCTGTACCATACCAGTCCTCACCATGCATTCGGCTGGAATTAAGCCAGTCATGGCATCATTTGGAATAGTCCTGATTGCTGTGCTGCATTTAGCTCCCAGAGGATCAGCTCATCAGCTATTGCTTAAGACAGACAAAGAAAGACTGCACACTCTTCTGTCCTGTCTGTAAGCTGTGTAGTGTATGGCAGCTCCATGCCATTCTAGGATTCCCTTTGGAAGTTTGGCAGTAGGGTGTATCCAGTAGCTTTACCAGTTTTATGCTGCTAGACTAGAGCAAAACAGGCAGAATAAGAGCTAATCATTTGGAACACAGTCATTTAATACTTGCAGCTTTGAAACACATGTCCCACTGTAGCTTCTCACCTACTCAATAGATCAATCCAGTTCATATTAAACTCATCTTTCCAAAGGCTTTAGTAAATAGATGGGCCTTGCAGCATTATACTTTAGGTCTTTTTCAAATTTCCTCTAGATCATTTTCCTTTATATGGACTGAACTTCAGCTTGAGCACCTCCACTATCCACAGGTGGAACAGTAAGATATGAAGAGAAAAATAAGCTAGACAGAAAGGCTCTGGTTCTGATGTTTGGGTTGGAAATTGTCATAGCATTGCTAGACTTTGACGGGGCATTTTGTACATTTTGTGCCAGGAATACAAAACACCAGAAACAATGAGAGGAGATTGCAAAATTGTGCCTTTGTGTTTAGAGACCAAAGGGAGCTACTTATTTTCCATGGACTTGAGATGTCATTTTAAGCTACATGAAGGCTGCAAAATCATTCCCATCACTTCTTTTACTCCTTGCTCGAGTCTAGGCTCCTTTCTTGCCTTCATGCCTCCTCAGCCACACTTTCACAGAGCTTCATCCTTACTCAGACATCAACTCTAAGCCTCAAATTAGGCCTCTTGTGAGTGACCACATCTCACCTGCTGCTCGTCTAGCTTGCTTTTTATTTCCCCCTGGTGACTGGTACCCCTAACACCTCTACCCCTGCTTTCTCCACACACCAAATATCTAGTTGCAGGGATTTTCCATTACCAACCAATCTTTCCTTCTCATCTCAAATCCCCATTAGTGATTTTCCAAGTTGGAGGCAGAAACCTGCATGTCTCTTCAGGTTTAGAACTTGGAAGCTCATGTTTTAGGATCTAGCCATGGTAACTAGAAGGCATCTCCAGTTCCCATCTCTAGTAGTTAGCTGCATTTTCCAAAGTTCAAGTTGAGGAGCACCACCATTTTAGTCTTGTCATCCCTGAGATGTTCCAAATTGATATTAGATACAGCACAACCCCTACCTGCATGCCCCCCGCTCCCCATTGTGCAAGCTCTATAGGGCTGTAGGCTATGTACTATAATACCAATAAGGATTTATGCTATAGTTATTTCACTATGGGCCAATGCTTGCTGCTTATTTTGACTGTATGGTGTTGTCATGCCACGGTGTGACTGCTTTAGAGATATGGAGTTGTAAGACTGGTTGGGAAATTGGTAGCGAACCAGTGCATAGGCCACACTAAAGACTAAAAATGGTGTTTACTTTTGTGGCCGTCCATACCTTTTTAAAAAAATGAATGGCAGTTAATTATTCTTTGGGTCGTACCTGGTGGAAGATCTGAATAGCAGTGAGTAGCCACTGTAATTAAAGTAACACTAATTATTTTCAAGCTTGCTTAAAAAAGCCAACACACAATTGCTGCTGTTGAAATTAAGTGGCACAAAGTTCAAATGCGAAAGAAAGCTTGTTTTATTGAACATAGTTGGCCATCCCTTCTGGGGTTAAGAATGTTGTCCCCTGAAACAGGAGGATGACTTGCAAAGATTCAGGTTTCAGAACTTCATGACTTCAGGTTTCAGAACTTCAGGTATCTTCATGACTTCCTCTCTTCTTTTTTCACAACGAAGGAGGAGGAATGTTAGGGAAACAATTAGCTTGGAAACCAATGCTATGATGAAAAGAAAGGAACATCACATGGAAATAAGAAATGTAAATACTGTGGTAAAAGACGAGGAATACACAGACCTTTTGGTGGGAGTAACCAG